AAGCTATTCAAATATCTGTATAAATCAAAATCATTTTGATATATATTATGATTATATATATACATATATATATATATATATATATATATATATATATATATATATATATATATATATATATATATATATATATATATATATATATATATATATATATATATATATATATATATATATATATATATATATATATATATATATATATATATATATATTATATATATATATATATATATATATATATATATATATATATATATATATATACTAAAAGCACTTATCTAGTTTTCTTCAACAATTTGTTTCGCCTACAGTAGACTCATAAAAAAAAAAGGTGTTGATTCTGATGGTTCTCCTTTTTTGCTTTTAGCGCTATTATTTAATTTTGGTCACAGACTATTTTCTTTTGTTGCAAATATTTGATCAAGTAATTTTGCAGTAGAAACTTTATAATCTTCTTTCAAAGGGTGAAAAAATGTGTGTGTTTTTTTTTTTAATTGACTACCAAAATAATGATTTTACAATTTTCGTATGTGCAAATTAACACCTCTGCAAATTTGGAATTAATGCCAGTTTCTACATCTTCATTTTGTTAAGTAATGTTTCCATAACAATGTCACACTCCAAAATTGTTGTATTTTGTTTTTCTAAGCAAACTGCAGCAGCAGCAATGACTTTCAATGAATCAGACAGCAATATCAAAAAATCCAAGTCATTGTCATTTAACATGTTTAGACAGTTTAGTTCCTCTGGTGTTTTTTTTTACACCTTCTAAGCTGTAAAAAAAAAACACAGTCAAAAAATCTTTTATTATCTTAAAAACACTGCTTCATCTAGTGTGGTTGTTGAGCAGAAGTCCTTGATCATGCAAAGATCTGTAAATTTCTTTTCTTCATATTCAATCTTTTCCTTCAAATAATTAATAAGCAATTCTCCTTCAGTCTCTCCATCTGTTTCCGTTTTCGCTTTAATATCCAATTTAGTTTATTTGTGGGCCACAACTTTGTTACAATCTTTTTTAACATCAAATCAATATATATCAAATCAAAAAAACTAAAATGAATTCTGGCAGATCTGATGTGGAAACTTAATTATGATGTGGAAACTTAATTAGGACCCAATTTCAACATCCATCCGTAGTTTTACGTGCAATATCTTCACTATTTAAGCCTAATTCTTTTAACTTTTCTATTATAAAAATGTTCAAGTGTTTCAGCAGAACATGGAGATAGCAATTTCACCTTTCCTAAGCAATACATGAAGTCGTGGTGAGTTGTCGATTTTTGTCATGGTAAGTTGTCGTTTTTTGCTAGGTAGCATGTTTGTTGCCATTTTGACACTTTGTTTGCAAAGATATTGATGTTGTAATAATCTTTGTAATGATATTGCATGATAAGCAGCTAATATAATTTAATAATAGAATAATAATGTAGCTATTGTCATAATAACATTACAAAGTTTAAAGGTCAAATAATTTTTTTTAACAATAAAGTACCAAGAATCAAAATTTGCATAGAGCTGAAAATTGATACAGAAAAATATCAAAAGTCCCCACTGATTCCACATTTGCAAAACAAGTTATTCAAGGTCAAAGGTATAAAAAAAATGATTTTTGTGTTTTTCTGGTAAACATGATGTTTTATCATAAAAGTAGATCAAACAAAAAATTTTAGATCATGAAATTATTTACTAAAATTGTAACGCAATTGAGGTTATCAGAACTTCTAACAGAAAAATTCTTTGATAAATCCCTTATAAATACTACATTTTATTAACTTCTCTAATTGTAACATATACTGCAAATGCAAGTGTGCAGACTTAACATAAGGTTTTTTTGTTTTGTTTTCTTGTGTTTTTTTTAACATCTTCACTTCCTACAAGGTTGTAAGCAATCATTTAGAGTTGGAAGTTACTGGAAGAGAAAAGATAATGTTTATAAAGCAAAACATTGATTAGCAGACAACTTACAAAATTGCAAATTATATGAATAAAGGTTCTTAAGTTTCCTGTTATTTATTTGTTATAAATGATCTTCTTGTCTAACTGAACTTTTCAGTATAACAACTTGATTGATGTCCATTATGTGAAGTATGTTATTATTATCTAAAGTCTTTACATTTACATCAGTATTGTCTGCAATGTATTGAACAAACGTGTCAGAATGTGGTGGTAAAATAAAAGGTTGATGGTTAAAAACTGCTGATGCTTCCTACATTATAGTGGTATTGAAAAATACACATAAACCAAAACAAACAAAAAAACTGAGAGGCTCAATTGTAATTTTAGTTTAAAAGATATAGGGATAACAGCAGACATTCTGTGATACTTGCACACACTAATTTTTAATGTTATAATTTTATTATTAAGAATTATGTGCTCCAAAAAAATTCAATGGCTTGACAGTATTGCTGTTAATATCTTCAAAGATTTGACTTGGCGTGGGATAATTTGTTTTATCAAATACTAATGATTGGTGTTTTCCAATATATTGTGGCTGTTATAATTTCTATTGGGCATTTCCATTCCAGTGAATTAAAAAAAATGAAATTTTAAAACGAATATTTTTTTAATTCAGAAGATGGAACTCAAAAGAAGATAAGTGATATTTTGATTATCCAAAAAAAAAAAAAAGATAGAAGACAAATGTTTCTTCATGTTTTAATTATTTAAAGTTCGCAATAAATAGATAAAATATTTAAGAAAAAAAACAAATATTTTTATTACATGTGATTATAACATTTAAAATTGATTTCATGACCCAGATTTTTTTGATTCTTAAAGATAATGATGTCTTTTAATATTTTATTATCATAAATTGCAATTAAGTATCTAGGTATCTAAAATTTTACGCCAAAGTGATCAGGGTTTTGAATTTCCGTGCGTGATTTAAAAGATCTAATTATTTAGAAAAAGAAATGTTAAAAAGTTTCAATTAAAGTGATTTTTTTTACTTTGCATATTGTTAGGTTACTGAATTGAATAGCAAAATTTTTTTTTTATTCTACAACATTTTAGCATTGTTTTTTTTGCATCACGCACAGACATATCACACTTGGACAAATATTCATCCGTGCGTGATAATTATTTTTCTTTAGCTTTATAACGTTCGAATAGCATATTTGCTAATTAATTAGTTGGAGTAAAACTTAGTTAGATAGAAAACAGTTGCTTAAAAGAATTTAGAATTAAAATGAACAAAGTTAAGCATTCAATAATTCAGAAAAAATTTAGAAAGAAACATCCAGAATATCGGATTGCTGAAACTAATCGAATGAAAAATAAAAGAGCTAACATGAGCGAAAAAGAAAAAGAGGAAGTACGTCAAAAAGAAAGAAAGAAGCAAAAGCGAAAGGTGAATCAATCTACATCTGATATTGAACAACCCTTTTTATCTCCGCAGAGTTTTGGAAAGGCACTTAAAGAAATTAATTCAGCATTACCTGCCGATTCAAACAAAAGAAAATACCTTTTAAAAGAAATTTGTAAATGTGAAAACATACTACTTTCTAATATTTCAGAATCAGCTCCTGACTACGCCGGGTAGGACGATGTTAATTTCAAAGTTCTTGATTTTTGTTTGCGAGAAGATATTAGTAGAATGGCTCCAGGACGTAAAGATGTTGCTATTGATAAGAAAACAAAGGAGAAGGTATGACACATCGTTTATATGTAGGAATCGCATTTTATTTAATAAGGTTTTCAGTTTTTGTAAACAATTTTTGTTTTTTTTTAGAAACAAATTCGTCACATGCTGAAGACCATAGGAGAAGCATATTCACTTTTTAAAAGTGAGCATATTAATTTAAAAGTTGGCAAATCTAAGTTTTATGATCTGCGGCCATTCTATGTCAAGCTAGTAAACGTTTAAAGTCAAAGGTATTCGTCGCCACCACTCTTTTCTTTTTAATATTGATGGCGCTTACATGGCAATTTGTAATCGATCAGAAATGGTAAAAAATGTTAATAATTCATCATCTTCATTATTGATAAACGCGGTATCATCCCCGTCTGAAAAGTACAAATTTGATACTATTTCTCCAGGTATATTTGTCTTTGTAGAATTGGGTTCTGCTGGTAGAGCAAAGACATACCTTGCCGAAGTATTAGAAATTTTAGATAATATGGTACATATTAAATTCCTAAAAGAACAAAATGAACTCATTTTTATATACCCATCTGTAGACAACCTCTCCTGGCATGACTGGTGTGAGTTAAAACCATAAGTACCACAACCACACTTTGATAACCATGGATATATTATTGTCAAGCCGAAGTGTTACCACTAAACATATTGTTAAAAATTTGATATTGTATCTTTCTTATCTTAATATATTATTAACTATATAATACATTATTTATCTTTAATATAATACACTTAAGTATTTATTTTCAATCCAACATGTTTCAAATTAATTAGAATTGATATATATGCGATTTGTGGTAGTTGCAATCAATTTATTTCCAAAAATACAATCCAAAAATGACGAATGTTTGCATGTTCCGTTCATTACTCTTTTTTTGTCTGTGCGTGATTTTGATTGAAACTTCTATTACAGAGCAAAGATACATGGTAGAATGCTGTAACTTTGTAAAAATCTTTAAAAATGCTTGTATAATTACCTATAAAAAACAAAACACTTGTCACTAATACATTTTTAGAGAAAATAGTGTTCATTTGTTAATTTTTTATTTTTTGCTTTTTTCTGTTCTGTGCGTGACTCCATTAAAAAATTCATTTATGTTATAATGAAGCAACCCATAGCTACCATACTTTGTATAGGTAATATATACATAGATGTCAATTAAATAAAAGTAAGTCAGTGGTTACAAATTGCATTATTTTCAAAATAATTAATGCAACAGATGCAATGTTTTATGCGTGATTTTTTGGAAATGCCCTATTATATTATAAATATGAGTATTTTCAGTAAAAAAATAAAAATAAAACAACCTACATCAACTTTACAGCTGATAATAATATTAAAAAAATTTATTTTAAGGGAGTAATTTAGAAGACACAAGTGGTGATAATCGAGAGATTCAAGATGATTCTAACTCACAACGCTTGGGTAAAAATGAGATTGAGGCAATGCGAGATGAAGGAAAATCTGGTGAAGAAATTGTAAAAGAAATTGTTGAAAACAGCTCAACCTTTCAAGGGCGAAATATTTTTTCTAAATCCAAGTATTTAAAAAAGAAAAACAAGAAGTTAGTTATTATTTGCTTGTATTTAAAATCTTCTTAAAATTTTTGATTGATCATAGACTTTAGCAGTTCATTTCTGCTATATTGTTAAATTTTTATTAACCAATGTCAGTTATGCATTAGTTTAATAATCATATATTGGTATAAAATTGGGCTGTGGTCACTAGTGCATGAAAATTATTTTTTTAAATATTTCAAAACAGTAATATATACTTAGTAATTTTTTTTACTGTCAGAAATAAAAACAGTGAGTTATGTTAATAGTTAATGATGTAAATTTTAAAATAAAATATTATCCTAGTCTCACTACTTATACCTGCAACCTCTTATTGATGTAGAGTTATTCTCTTTGATGTATTTATAAATATTAAAATAATTAAAAATTTAATATTTTTAAATCTTAGTTTTACTAAAGTGATTTATCTAGAAGTTACAATTATTTAAATTTTTATTTTGTACTTTCTTTAAATTGTTTTATTTAAATACTTATATCTATCAAATCTTTTTCTTTCTTTTTTTTTTGATTATTAAATATTGATGGTTTCAGACTATTTGGAGGTAGTTTTGACTTATTTAATCATTCAGGCCTGTCCATTAATTACTTCAACAAAATTTGGGGAGGGAGCTTGTTTTTATTTTTTTATTTTTTTTCTAAACATTTTACTAAACATTTTACATTAAAATCATTTGTTTTAGCTGTAAACTAGTTTATTTAAAATGAATTTTTTTTCTCTATTTAAATTTGATTTTTAGGTTGGGGTAGTCAAATGTCAACGTATTTGTATAGAGGGGTCTCTGGAAGTTTGACAAGTTGTTGAAAAGGGGAAGGGGTTAGGTAAAAAATGCCAAAGAATTTTTGGCATTTTTTCATAAAAAATGTCTTTATAATAACCTTTTGAAACTTATATTTAAGAATAAGACTTGGTGTTTTTTATATTAGTTTGTTAATAATTTTTAGGTCAGGAAAACATTAAGACAGGAGAAAATTCCAAAGCATCAATTTGCAAGGAAAAAAACAAGATAAATAAAGGTTTTTAGAGTATGAAAGGACAGATAAAATAAAAGGATGTGACTTTACTGAATGACAGTTCAAACAAGAATAGGGTTGCCAGGTGTCCAGCTTTTACAGAGGAGAATACAGCCCAAACCTGTATAAACAAATTTTTTTACTGTATTCTCCTTTGTAAAAGCCAGACATTTGGCAACCCTAAACAAGAATAAGTTTTGGTTGATTGAACTAGAGATAATAGCAACCATGGTACTATATGTAGAAAGGAGAAAAAGATGCAACCTTATGACAATGGAAGAATAACTCAAGCTTGGCAGATTATGCTACTATCTTGGCAGATATTCCAGTTACATTTATAAAAGCTTTTTGGACCTTGTCTAGAAAAAAAAGGGCATCATTAAAAGAACCAGCCTAAATAATACAACAATAATCCATAAAAGGAAAAGTAAGAGTATAAAAGAATTAAAGAATGGAATCAGGAGTAATTATATGATGAACATGGTAGTGAAGCAACCTTAGCAGATGCTAATTTTACAATAGATTGTATTTATGGTTTCCATAAAAGATTATTTATAAAAGATAATTTGAGAAGGACAACTGAGTTTTGTGACAAGGCTTGCAAACAACTGAGTTTTGTTTGGGTTTAAAATTGCCAAGCATTTGAAACCCAAAGCTGTCAAATAAGAGAAATCGCATTTTTTAGACATGCTTTCATTAACGACACTGTTAAAGATTTTTTTTTAAACCTAACTTATGAGATAAAATGTGAGCTTTAGTAAACTAAGAATAATAGAGCTAGTGGTAGAAAGCACTTTTTAAAAAAAATTAACTTTATATTTTTTTACCTTTGAGCATTTACAAAAAAGCAAAAGACATGTACTTTTTTTTTTTTTTTGCTGCACCGAAATTGGGAATTTAGGTGCGGCAAAAAAAAAAAAAGGTAGATAAATCTAACATTTTTTAGATACAATTAAATTTTAATCAAAGTAATTTCCTATTTTTGCTGGGTTATATTCATAGCAGAAATATTTTTTTATTTTATAAATGTTTAATTATAATTGTTACTTGTCTCATTTTGAGCTTGTTAAGTTTTAATTTTTAAATTGTTTCTCTACTTTGTTTAATATAGTAGAAAAAAAAACAAGAACAAAAGACTGTTTGCAGTTTTAATGAATGATTTATTTAATTTCATGGCGCTCTATAATGAAGGCCTATTTATCACGCAACTGTAAGCTGTGACTGAGGGCCTATTTTAATATTCTAAAAATTGCGAAGATAAAGGGCTCGCATTGAAAAACTTGCCAGAGAATTTTTAACTTTTTCAAATTAATCTTGCTTATTCTTTTATATTTCCAATAACTTTGTATTATTAATGTTTTTTAAATTATATTTTAAATTTTTGCAAATAATTTCAAAACAGTTTATTTTTTCTTGTTAACTCTTAAGAGTGTTAGGAGTTAAATTTAACTCCTAACATTGTATATAGTATACAATGTTAAGAGAAACAAAGACCAAAAATGCCACTATCTGTTTAGCCAGGAATACCTTCAAGTCGAATATCCACTCGATTACCACCTCATCACACAACACAGAAATCTTTAAGCGTTGTTAGAAATGTTAGAACTGATGAACTTAGCACTTTTTTATTGGCTGATACAGCGACATATTGATTTTAAAAATGTTTTATTAAATAATCTCAGGGTTTTTTCAGTTTCAGTTATAACATATATGATTGAAAAAACAATTAATATTCAATCTATTATGTTTTATGATGTTGTTCCTTTGTTTCTTGTTAAAATATTTGAGAATTTACATTTTGAAACATCTCATTGTGGAATAAAATGTTTCATAAAAAGTTTGTGTAAAAATCATATAAATATTGTTGATACTTGGTCAAAGTTTGAGGAAATACTACATTTTTTAAATGTCATGAAAATAGATCATAAGAAAAACATTATTCAGCAACAAATATCAGTTATGTCTGCAAAGCTTATTGGAAAAAAAATATATAAATCAGATACAATTATACGTAGTTTTGAATATTTTTCAACATCTCATTCTTTATACAGTAAACTAAAAAACAATTTTCTATTGCCATCAGTTAGGACTTTCACACCAATAACATCAAAACTTTGCAAAATTGATGATGCTAATTTCTTAGACTTTTCAAAAACATTTAAGAAAAACAAAAAATTTGTATAATTATTCATGATGAAGTATATGTCAAAAAAATGATGCTTTACCATGGTGGAACATTGCTTGGTAAATCTTCAGATGATCCATCAATATTGGCTGAAACTGTGTTGGGAATTAAGATAGTATGTCTCAAAAGTGGTCCAAAATTTCTGTATAAGATAAATCCAATTTCAAAATTAAGTTCAAATTTTCTGTTTGAACAAATAAACTCTAGCATAAAACTTATAAAATCATCATCTGGCGATGTAAAAGTTGTTATCTGTGATGGTATTTTTTAAATTATATTATACTTTTCCAGAAAAAACTTGGAAAACGGAAGATGGGATGTATTTACTGTTTGACTTTTATGAATCTATGGCTTAAGAAAAAACTGGGGAACTAGTGTATAGTGATAATGGTATTCAATGAATAGTTAAATGGGAGCACCTTAAATGCTTATATCAATTAAAATCAGAAAAGTTAGTCAAGTTGTCAGACTTAAATGAAATTGCAATAGCTCGCAAGCCAATTGAAAGGCAAAATGTATCTACTTGCCTTAAAGTTTTTTCAGATAAGATATATTATGTCTTGCTGATCTATTCTCAAATAGTTTCAAATTCTAAAGATACTGCAATATTTATAAATAAAGTAATAACCTGGTGGAAATTTTGAATGTGAAAGGTTGTGGAGCCAATGTAAGACACAATGATCCACTAGAAGCACCTATTTGTAGTCCTGATGAATGCTGTCTTAATACTCTACTTCAGTTTGGTGATATGGCTCTCAAAATGTGTTGTAAAAATGGCAAAAGAGTGAAGCAGTCATCTAATGATACTGCAAAATCATTTCACCACACTTGCTATGGTATTGTTGAGCTATGTAAATATTTATTAGCAACAAGTCATGAATACGTTCTTCTTGGTATGTTTTCAAGTGACCACTTAGAAAAAGAGTTTGGGAAATTGAGACAAGGTTCCGGGGGTGCCTACTTTATAAATGTTCAACAAATTATAGAAAAATTGCATATAAATCACACATCACTGTTGTTATCTTTATATATTGACATAGATTCTTTTCATTTTAGTTCAGGCTATGAGTGTGCTTCTTGTACATATGTTTTATGTGAAGCAGGTAGTGAAATATTTGACAATTTAGAAAAACTCGAATTATCAATTTCAGATACTACCAAAATGTCTTTAATTTATATTGCTGGTTATGTATGTAGAAATGAATATGATGAAAACAATTTGTTCAATCAAACATTACTTTATTATGAAAAGTTTGGTGAGTACCTCAAGTCTATAGATTGTGGTAGTCTTAAAATTTCACCAGACAATGTTTGCCAATGGGTTTTTTTTTTGCTTTGTCTTATTCCATTCAATAAAAGATAAAATTTATAGTAAATCCTCAAGTGACATCATTCTGCTGGTTTCTCAATTTTACTATTTTGAAATTAATCAAAAGCATTGCAATACACTTGCTAATATATTTTTAAACAATTTTTGTGCACAAGTTACACCAAGATATAATAAAGAACCTGCATTAAAAGTGTTTAAGTTTTCATAAATTTGTTTAGAAAATAATGGTTTGTATATGCTGTTGTTAAAATATATGCAAATATTTTCTGTTTTAATTTTTTTTTTTTAATTTAAAACTTTTTATTACATTTTTTTACAAGCGTGTTTTCGTAGATATTTTAAAAATGTTATTCGTTTGTAAAAGAAATAAGTACTTTTTGTATTATCGCTGAAAGTCATTTTGTTAAAATTTTTTTAAGAGTCTCAAGCAGTTTTTCATATAATTTTTTTGTCAATGAGTT